ATCCTAAAAGGATTCTTTCTCATGGCTTGCAATGCTGTGTTGAAGGCAGATTCTTTGAGAAACTTAAAATTCAGGTCCCATGCATGTTCTGTGGAAACATGGAGAGGTTCCATCTCCGGTGACATGTCATGACTATGTAGAGGTTTCCGTCTCCCTAATTGTAGTGACTGTCCTTTTCATCAGATTTCATGTTGGCAGGCTCAACCTTATTCAACGATATCCACAGGTATTTCTTGATCTACGTAAAACATCCCCCTTTTCACACACCAGGGAATACTTTTGCTTTCATGTAGCACTTTTACGTGGTCTCTGGTGCCCATAGGGTCTTCCACAGATCTTATTTTGGGACCCTTTGTGAATATTTTCAAGATTTTTGCCTTACCTTTTTATAGATTTTTAGTCCTCCTGAGGCTTTGAGCATAATTTGTGGTCTGTTATTTGAAAGACTCTTTGAAGCTCCCAGGTGTCTTAGGGCTTGGGCTTTGCCTTAGGTTCTCTCAGTCAACATTTGTTCCAGTTCTGTTTTCTGCCAGTTTCTCCTTTGGAGGTTTTTTAAACACTTTGAAAGCTTTTTCATGCCCCACCTCCGTGGTGGTGATGGGTGGTGGTGGTGGTGTGTGTGCACTTGTGCTTTGTATTGCCTTAGTGCTTCCTGCTTGTTGTGGGGGCAGGGTCAACCGGTTCCAGTTGTGAAGGTTTGTTGGTCATTTTAGTGTTTAGAGCTCCTCATTCATTGGTTCTTCAGCACAGTCCAGCGAGTGGAGGACAACTGAGCTATATGCAGGGTCTTTTGTGGGTCTGTCTGGAGTAAACTCTCAGGATTTGTCAGTTGAGCTGTGGGTTTTTTGCCTCAGTGTTTCCTGTTCACCTCACAGTTGTTACCTTTTCAGAATTTTGTTTTTAGGTTTAATGATTTCCTGATATGTTTCAGAAGTCTTTCCCTGTCCTTCATCTCTCCATCTACTTTGTTTTCTATTACCTGTGTCTACCTCAAATGTCTTCTTTGTATGATATTCTCAACATGGCTGCTTTTGATCCTGCAGTCTTGACCTGCATTGGTGGCATCTGTATATTTTTTAATTGGTTGGCCCTGAGTCTTGTCTCCAAAGGCTCTGTCTTAGGATCTGGAATTTGATCTCAGTACCTCTCACTTCACAGGTGATCCCAGACATTTCATGGTACCTTCACTTTTCTTTTACAAATGATTTCTTTTTTCTTTTTTTTGGCGCTAAGGATTGAACTCAGGTCTTTGCGCTTGGGAGGCAGGCAGTGAAACCACTGAGCTAAATCCCCAGCCCCTACAAATAATTTCTTAGTGAAGAGCTGGGAAAACTTTTATCAGATGGCTCCTTTGATTGGTGCAGTGACCCCTACCGGATGCCACTTGTAGGCTCAGGTAGGGAATACAAAAAATGGCCGTGATCAAAGGCCTGTGGTAGACTTGCCAGTGCCTGTCACTCATTGTTCTGGGTAGGGCAGGCTACCTAGTAGCCCAGCCCGGAGTGTTGATTATCAGTACTTTCCTCTTCTCCCTTTTTGTCAAGGATTTCTGGGTGGAAACCACTTCTGCCAAGCCCAGAGGGCCCAACAGGACACCCATCCTAGAAGTGCTGATGCAGGCAGAAACTGCAAGGGAATTTAAAGAAATTTATGAAGAAACAGGGCTACAGCCAAAGACAGAGACTGCCCTAACGATAAGGAGGAGAGGCCTGGGAGATCACTCACACTGCCCAGGATCTCTGGAAGTACTCCTCTGCAGAATTCCTTTGTTTTCCAAAATTGTGTTTCTACTCCACTTCTCCACCCATCTACATTTTATCCTAGATAACTCTCTTTTCTTTTTGGCTCCAGTCTGTTATTTACTCCCTCCCCACCTATCTGCAATCTCCCAACCCATCTCTTTCTCTCTCCATGAATATCACCCACACATTTTTACCCACATAATATTTATTAAAACAGTTGATGAAATAACACAGATGTCTTCAAATTTTAATAAATATTTATTGAACATAAACTCAAAATTTATTGGAAATACACCTCCAGTCAGACGGCTTTGCACAGAATGAGGGAATTGCTGGATGGTCCCTTGCTGGCTGCCTGGGACAGTTGTCAGTTTCTGCCAGGTCAAATTGGCAAATTGGTGAGGGGTGAGAAGGGTGAGGCTATGGAAATTAATTCTGAAAACTCTCCATGCCCTTTTGGTTCAAGGGAAGCTTTTCTACCCCATCCTGGTTCCCTGGGTCTCTAAGTACAGGGTCTCTACTCCTGAGACTAATAAACGGAAAAGGCAGAGCCAGAAGGCAGCCTGGCAAAAGGAAGCATAAAACTCTTCTTGCAGTGGTGATGTTGCAGAATCCAAGAGACAGGAGAGACCAATGGGAGATGGGGGACTTTATTCTAGGTGAACATGGCTCAGTGGACTAATGTCCAAAGGAAGAGCACAGAACAAAGGAGAAGCTCCAGTTTTTATATATTTGGTCCAAGGAGGGGATGGTCTTTTTACTGATGTAGCTAGTGAGCTTATAGAAGCAGGACAAGGACAGACAGGTGTAATTAGCCATGAGCGAAGACAGAGCCTGATGAATCATGTCGGAATAGAACGGGATAAACTTTGTTTACAGAACATAGTTGTCAATTTTATCTGTATCAGGATAAGGAGTTACAGCTATGGGGGGGAGGGGTGATTCAAGGGTGTGGGGAGGGGCTCCCCAAGGTTGGGAAAAACTTGTCCTTTTTTTTGTAAAGTCTTGCTTCAGTGAGATTTGCATTTATAATTAAATTATAGGCTGGAGAACAGATTTAAAATTCAACACAAAGCGCCACTGCAAAAACTTATAGAATCCTTTGAAGGTAAGCCCTCCTGTTAACAAGTTTTGGGGTGCTAAGGTCTCATTCTAGAGTTGGTTTCTAGGTTCTTTTTGTCCTGAAGAAAAAATTGGTCAAGACAAGTACAAAAGGTAGGAAGGTTTTACATTTATTAAAGGTAGGAAAAGAAACATGCTCAGCAGGCCAAGTTTGGGCCAAGTGAAAGTAGGAAAAGAAGTACGCTACACAGTGTGAGTGTGGACTACTGTGGAAGAACAAACCACAGTAGGAGAAAGGTAAACATCCTTTTTGAATCTCACACTCCTCAGCCTGATGTCAGGTCTCAGCTGTACTATCCAGAACTGCTGGAGTTCTCACAAGAAGTCCACATTCAGGGCTTTGGGAACTGTTCTGTGGATGTGTCCTTGAACTTTGCAATTAATAGGTCATGTCTGCTTCCCCAGCCAACCTGCCATGCCTCAATTTCCTGTTCACTCCCACAGTCTAAGACTTATTAGTCTGGTCATTCCCTGTATCTTTCCTTTAATTCCCTGCTCTCTGGCATGTACTCTATCATAGTTGCTAAGTTTAATGAATAGACATTCCAGAATCTTTTATTTCTAATTAGGCTGCCTCCAAAGATGGAAGAACTGTCATTAAAATGAACCCTTAGTTGAGTGACAAAAGCAGTATTTTATGAGATTATTCAGAGGTGAGCTTTATTATTAATGAGGGAGAAGATGGAAAGTAGTATTCCTGAAAAAGCTTTATTGTAACCCTGCATTTAACTTGTTGACACAGTCTTGCCCTATCCAATTTAGATTTGGTTTTCTTGAACATTCTCAGTCTTCTATGTCCCCACAGGCAGTAACTTTCAGAGTTGTTCCCCTAGAACAGAGAAGAGGGGCTTAGAATTTTTGGTTTCATGGTCCCTTTACAGTCTTATAAATTGACATAGTTTATATCTACATATATTTAGCTATATTTGAAATTAAAACATAGGAATTTATAAAATATTCATTTATTTTACAATGAGGAATGCATTTCATTTTTACACAATTTAATTTTATCGTAAAAAAAAATCTATATTATACAAAACCAAACCAAACCAAAGAAAATACTAGTGAAAAGAGCAGTATCATTTCACATTTTTGCAAATCTTTAATGTCTAGCTTGGTAGAAGACAGAAACTAGAATCTCTCAATTGCTTGCACTTTTGGCAGATTCCATCCCACTCTTGAGAGATTAATAGTGGAATAAAAAATCTGTTCATTAGTGACGTGGGTTTGATTTTATGCAGATTTGGAAGGATTCTGGAGTCTTTCAAATGTCCCCACCACCTCTGAGAATTCTGCTCCTGTTCCAGGAAGCTAAGTTCTATTGGAGGGAGCGGGAGATGGTGGGAAAGGGTCCCCAAAGTCCTGTTCAGGTTCCATTCCCTTCATCCCACCAGGGCCAAGGAAGTGCCCTTTGCAGGCTGCCCGGGGATGCAATCCTCTACAGAATTACTTTAGGATTCATCCGCCTTGTCATGCACAAGGTATTTTAACCGGAGATTTTTTTTTTCTAACAGCAAAGCACGAAAACCTAAGTATGTAGCAATAGTAATGATGAAATAAATTGTGGTTTCCTAAAGCCAAATACGTTGCCCCATGGAACTGAGAAAGTGAAAGGGGAAGATGTGCAAAATGGAAATCCCCTCTGTATTCAGTAAGCAGAGAACACAAACTAAATGTGTGTATAATGATCTTTCTCATGTATTATGAAAAAGAGAACAAGATGTGTTTAACTGGAAAAGACACGAAACTACTTTAATTGGTTGGTGAAAAAGAAAGGGGAGAGGGAGGTTTTTAATTTTTAAAACATTTAAATCTTCTAGCAATGATAATATGCAGTGTTGCTTGTATTTGGTCCTTAAAACAAAAGAAGGAAAGAAGGGTTGTCTCGGTAGTGAGAATATGTTCTGTTTTCACCCAGTTTTCCAACGCACTCTTCAGGGAGTAATGAGCTATTTTTCCTCTGGGTACTTAAAGCGCCAGACCACCCCGTACACCAGCCCCGCCCCACGGAGCTAGCGTCTTTCAGTCCGGCTCCGCCTACTTCCGCCTCGCCCTTCCCATTGGTCCCCCGCCGTGCCTTCTCGTCCAATCGCAGCACTTAGCGCCAGAATTTGAACTGTTGTATTCGTTTGAATCGGGCGGGCACTGGGAGCCGCCTTGGCGTAGGGCGGCCTCGGCCGGCAACGCTGTAGTAGGCCGCGGGGACTACCGGGGAGACGGCGGGGGAAGGGTCTGCGGACCGGGGCGGAGCGAGAGCGGCCTTCAGGCGGCGTCCGAGTGGACGGCGCTGGGCTGCGCGGACGCGCGGGAGGCACCGGCGGCAGTGAGCGGAGACTGGAGCAGGTGAGCTGTGGCCGGGCTCCGGGGACGGATTGCGGGGGTCCAGGCTGGGGCGCGGGGACGCCGGCTCTGGCCGGAGATCTCGGGGGACTCCGGCAGGGTGGGCTCCAGGGTGGTCTGGCTGCGGGACTCTGGGGCTCCGGAGGCGGCCTGTGGCGCACCCCTGCCCGGCCGGGTCCCCACAGTTCCGTTAAAGTCGCTGAAAATTATCTGAAGTCTTTTGCCGTCAGAGTAATGCCCATTTTTATTTTTGCAGTGGAAGAGGTGCTTGCGAGATTGCCTCTGCAATTGAAACCCTCCTTCCTACCCGGATTAGACTAGCAGCTAGTTTAGAAAATGGGGCCCACGGCACGCCTTGTTACCATCAAGAGGAGTGGGGTGGACGGCATCCCTTTTCCACTGAGCCTTAGCACCTGCTTGTTCGGAAGGTGAGCCAGGGCTCGGGACGCTGTAGAACAGGATGAAAGTGATTTAGTCGCGGTTTGATAGCCCACGAACATGCTTTGGGGGCTCTTGCCTCTACACAGCAGCCATTTGACATAGTTATCGCTAAATGGAAGTTTGAAAATTATATTTATACATGTGTTATGTCATGATTGTGTTGCCTGTTGTTTTCTTTAACCAAGCAAAAAATTTGCAATTGATTTGATAAAAAGCTTGTGATGTAGAGAGTAGATGATTTCGAACCAGATTCACCTCCAGCCCTCTTTAAAAGACTACATGTTACATGTGTCCTTGCGTCTCTTCCCCACTGGGCATGCGCTGGCTTCTCTGGACATTGAGAATGAAGGAAAGAGGCCTGCAGTTGGCTCCTTCTCTTTTTAGAAAAATGAAGTGGGAGGGAAAGTCCTCTTACTATGCTTTGAGAGCTTTTCCTCAGCTTCTTTTTGGATGACATAATAACCCTCTTCCTGGAATAATAGGCACAATTACTAACAGAACCCCCCTCATTTTCTAAGGTGTCGCTGTGGACCTGTGATCAAGTCACCCCTCTATGGTTTAACTATTAGACCCTGTTCTGGCCTCACCCTGTCCTCCCAGCTCCATTCATCACCATTCTTCCCGCCTGAGATATTCCAAGCTCTCGTTTTTATTGGTATTTTTTACAAAGTTTGAATTTTATGACTGGACTATACTCCTTATTTATGTGCTTGAATAACTCCTCTCTTTCAGGGATCTGTTCAATCATAGTTATCTGAAAAGCCTTTAATGAAAGCTTGTTTTTTCTAAGACCATACATTGATGATTAGCTTTTTTGGTTTGGTTTGGTTTCTCTCTCCTGTTAGACTAAATTCCAAGGGCAAAGGCTGTCTTGTTGATAATTATGTACTCAGGGGCAGGTGTGATTCTAGCACATGAGTGGTGATTAGTAAATAACACTTGTTGGTATCTGGTAGAAAGACACACTGGAGGTTGGATTTGGAGTCAAGAGATAACTAAGTGGTTTTCATAGGACCATTTTATCTGTCGGAGGTATTGGGCAAGATCTAGGGACATTTATCCATGTCACTTTGTGAGAGATGTATGCCACTGTCTCACTGGCAGAGGGCAGAGGTGTAGCAAGGCATGCAGCAGTGCAGAGGACAGCCTGACAGTGATGAATTCTCTGGTCCAGAATGCAAGCAGTGTTGAGGTTAAGAAATACTGATTTGTAATGATTGTCCTGTTAAGCAAAACTCAATTCTAATCATACAGTCTTTCTTTGCTGGGGTGTTTTGGTACCTAAAACTCAAATTCCCTTCTTGTAGTTAAAGAAGTTAACACTTTCCATAGCTTTCTTTATTAAAAAAAAAATCCAATCTCAAATAGTCATTTTGGTTATTATTTAGCAGTACAATATCTCTTTGTAAAATTTTATTATTTTGAAACCAATTCATATGTATTTGGTCATGTGACAGGGTAGGAAGAGATATGCTTAGACTCTGGAGGGTCATATGAAGAATAGACATGAAATCATGGAGTATATTCAAACTTTTAAAACCATAGGATAGACCAGCAATTTTAGAGACTAATACCAATGAACTCTTCAGGCTATTCATTTGTGGGTGGGTTTAGGAATCGTCTTTTTTTGTGCTTTTTCATGGTGTTAGCTTTCTGTAGAAATACATGTTGAATTGATTTTTTTCATTGCTTCCAAATTAGTTTTTGTTTTTTTTTTTTGGTACCTGGGATTGTACTCGGGACCTTTCCATTGTGAGGCAGGCGGCGGGATCACTGAGCTAAATCCCCAGACCTCCAAATTAGTATGTTTAATGTTAGGAGACCTGAATCTATCGGTTAATATAGGATAATTTAAAAACAGCAATGAAAAGCTCACATATAACGACATTTATTGTGTGGCAGGAACATGAGTGACAGGTACAACTCATTTAATTGTTTGAACAATGCCTTGATATGGGTGCTCATGTAATGTTTTTGTATAGAGAGAAATGGGAGGTATTGAGAGGTGCTAACATGAAATTTGGGGATGGTTAAATCTTTAAACTTATATATATATAAACTTATATATATAACAAACATACATAAAACCTTTTTTGAAAGCATTGAGTGTTAAAAATAGTTATTCTCCAAAATTGAAATAAAGTACTTATTTATTTGCATCTTCTAAGTATAGCTGTTTATATATTTTTTATTAATTTTATTGGTACATTTTAGGTATATAATATAATGACATTCATCATTGGAGATTTGTACCTTTACATAATATATCTTGATTCTTATTTTTTCCACATTCCCCTGCCCTCCCTTCAACCCCTCCATCCCTCCCTATTTACAAAGACCTTGTTTCCATTTTTTCATTTTCTCATATTAATTCCATTCCCTTCTTTCCTTTCCTCTACTCCTCCCACTTCCCCTTCCCCTTTGCACCTTTTCTTCCTATTTCACATTATCTATTATACCTTTTAGTCCTTATTTACACTTTCAGTTTCTCACACCAGAGAAACTACTCGGTATTTACATATGTGTGTCCTATTTATTTCACTTGAAAGTATGGCCTCAATGTGCATCCATTTAGCTATAAATGCCTCTAATTTCTCATTTTTTATGTCTGAGTAGTACTCTATTTTATTAAAAAACCACATTTTCTTTATCCAGTCTCCAGTTGACGGGCAACTGGGCTGTTTCCATGTTTTAGCTATTACAAACTGTGCTGCTATGAATTTGGGTGCACATATATTGCTGTGATATGATTCTTTTAATTCTTTTGGGAAGATACCCAGCAGGGGAATAGCTGGGTCAAATGGGACCTCTAGTCATAGTTCTTTGAGGTATCTCCATACTTATTTCCACAGTGGTAGCACCAGTCTACACTGCCACCAACAGTGGAGAAGGGTTCCTTTTGCCCACAGCCCCATCAGCATTTGTTATTGGTTGATTTCATGGTAGCAGCCATTCTTTCTGGGGTGAGGTGGAATCTCAGTGTTGTTTTCATTTGTATCTCTCAAATAACCAGTGATGAACATTTTTTCATGTGTTTACATGCTATTTCTACTTCTCTGCCTGAGAAATGACTGTTCATTTCAGATGCCCATTTTGGGATTGGGTCTTTAAATTAGGGAGGTCTGATTTTTTTTTTAAAGTTCTTTATATATTCTAGATAGTAGACCTTTGTCTGAGGAACAGCAGGTGAAGATTTTTTCCCACATTGTGGGTTGCCTCTACGCTGTTTGTGGTTTCTCTTGCTGTTCAGAAGCTTTTTAATAAGAAGAGATCCCACTTGTTGATTGTTTTTGCTAGTTCACGTGCAACTGAGTTTTTGTTCATAAAATCTTTTCCTACACCAACGTCTTCAAGAGTTCTACCTAACCTCTGTTCCGGCCGGTTTAGTGTTTCTGTTTTAATATTTAGATCTTTAATCCGTTTCGATTTTAGTTTAGTGCATGGTGAGAGATATAGATCTAGTTTTAATCTTTGGCAAGTTGAAACCCAGTTTTTCCAGCACCATTTATTTATTTATTTATTTGGTACTGGGGATTGAACTTGGGACCTTGCGCTTGAGAGGCAGGCACCTGAACCACTGAGCTAAATCCCCGGCCTCCAGCACCATTTATTAAAGAGGCTATCATTCCTCCAGTTAAGATGGTTGTCTCCTTTGTCAACGATGATGTGGCTGAGTATGTCTGGAGTTGTTTCTGCATCTTCTAATCTGTTCCACTGGTCTTTGGGTCTGTTTCTTTGCCAGTACCATGCTGTCTTTATCACAATAGCTTTGTAGTATAGTTTCGAGTGGGGGAGTGTGATACCCCCTACCTTGTCTTTGTTGCCTAGAATTGCTTTTGCTATTCTAGGTCTCTTCTTGTTCCAGATGAATTTTTGGATTGTTTTCTCAAGGTTATAGTTGTTTATATTAAAAGTAACTTAATTTGTATTCTGATGTTTCCTAATAAATTAGTTTTAGATACTCAAATAGCTTCTTATGCAGTGCTTGTAAAAATTGTTGGAAAAACACAGATTATTTGCCCTGCCCATTTTGTTATTCCTCATGTCATATTTATAGATCAAGCTTACTAATCAAATTCTGTGTTATTTTGAAAAACTGAGTTAATTTTTAAGAAGTTGCAATAAGCAAAAAAAAACCAAAAACTTAATTCTTTTGTATTAAGGGGAACTGAATGTGACATTCGTATCCAGCTTCCTGTAGTGTCAAAACAACATTGCAAAATTGAAATCAATAAGCAGGAGGTAAGTGGGTTTGGGAAAGTTGATTTTTAAAATGTTTTAATTCACTTTTTATCTATTTTATTGGTTATATATTTTCCCTTTCTTTTCACGTGTAGGCAATACTGTATAATTTCAGTTCCACAAATCCAACACAAGTAAATGGGTCTGCTATTGATGAACCTGTACCACTAAGACATGGGGATATAATAACTATTATTGATAGGTCTTTCAGGTAGGTAAAAACTAATTGCAGTAACAATAAATAAATGCTCTAATTAACTATAAACCAGTACCATAATTCAGTTGTGATCTTTTTTAATGCTGATAAATGTCAAAGTGTTTCATGATTTCATTTGCCACACTAATAATCTACAAATATATGGATCTAGAAGTGATGGGGAGGGGGAGCTCAAATGTGATGGAATCCAAGGATTCAAGGGCACATAATTAGGCTGAAGAAAGGTGACCTGGACTGAATAGAGGCTGGGGTTTTTTTGTGAATATTCTGAAACTGCATGAATTTTTTAGTTTCTGTTTATTTTTAAGCAAAATACATTCATAGAAAAAGTTACAGAATAAGGTGTACAGGTCAATTTAACATGATCTGAATGCCCTCATGATTGATAACTACCTATTATGGACTGAATTGTGCTCTCCAAAAATTCATATTTTGAATTTCTGTCCCCTAGTAGCTTAGGTTGTATGTTTGATAGAGACACCTAAAAGAGCAGATAGGCTAATCAGAGTCCATTAAAGTGGGCCCTAATCCTAGTACTGGTGTCATTTTAATAAGGAGATTAGGACAGAGAGAGACACTAGGGAACTGTGTACAAAGGGAAAATAATGTGAATGGGCCAGAGAGGAAGCTAGCTCGGTTGGATACCTTGGACTTACAGCCTCCAGCTCTGTAAGCAATTCATTTCTGTTATTTAAGACACCTCATTTGTGGTGTTTTACTATGGCAGTCCTAGCAAACTAATAATACACTACCTATGTCATGAAGGAAGTTTCCAGAAATTTTTTTCATGCTGTTTATAATTACTACTTCTTTCTCATCAAGGAAGCCACAATGGTAGCTATAAAATGTAGAGGTCTGTCTTTATGAAATTCAGTAACTAAAGTCATAATAAAGTAATAAAGTTCATGTCTGTGTCTGACTGCTGCTTTTTAGTATGTTGGATTCATGGCATGTTGGGTGTGTTTGTATGCACAATAATGTACAAGATTATATACAGTTTACTCACTCGTGATGGACATTTGAGTGATTTCCAGCTTTTGAAATATGTTGAGACTTTCTGATCAGATATTGTTAATTTTTTACTAATCTCTTGTGTGTTTGAAAACAATGTATATAATTGGGTAGTCTATATATCAATTGGACACAAATCGTCCATATTTTTAGTAATTATTCCCCTGCTTGTTAGTTTCTCTCTTTTACCTCTTACCGGTTTTGCTTTATATATTTTGAGGCTATACTCTGGCATATGAATTTAGAATTATTTCCTTCTTGAAATAATTCTAAGTTAGGCATAGAACTTTGCATTGTTAAAGTTCTATGCATAGAGCTTTTTGTCATTTAGAAGTGTCCTCTAACTTTAGTAATACTTTTTCCCTTAATATTTCCTTTGGATGATAAATATAGCTAATTATTTTTATTTGTGCTTGTGTAATACAAATGTTTATGCTCTTAATTTTAACTTTTCGTAATTCTTAAAGTTATCTCCTGAAACCTTTTGTCAGAAGACTTGTTTTTAATTGGATTGTCTTCTTGATGGACTAACTTTTATATCATTATAAAATGTGCCTTGTCTCCATAAACAATTTTGAGGGCATTTTTAGTGAGTATAGACTTCTAGGTAAGAAGTATTTCATGCAGGGTGGAGACCAGAACTATTTCCCAAAAATAAAATACTGTTCAAATAGAGATCAACTGAGATGATTAAAGATCCCCAACAAAGTAAAAAATGGATTTTAAGTAGGACTTGATTCAGTACTCTGATACCAGAGATACATCTATTCCAGATGCCTGATGGCTTCAGATCTTACTAAGGCTGCGTCTAAATTCAAATCACCCTAGGGGCTGGGGATTTAGCTCAGTGGTTCTGCCACCTGCCTTACAAGCGCAAGGACCCGAGTTTGATCCCTGGTACCAAAAAAAAAAAATCACCCCATTCTGCTGTGGTACCACGGTGTTTGTTACATACAATAAAGGACAGCTTCCCTGAATTTATCACTGAGATCTGTTAGAACAGTTATGCCTAAGATATGCTTGTATTGTTATGGACTCAGATTGAGCTAAGTGGAAAACTAGAGTGAGCATAGTACTCTAAAGCAGTTTTATAGTTAACTGAAGTGCAAGGAGCTTTGTACATACCTGGAAGTATGTGATCCATGGTGTGAGTAAAGATCAAATTGTGACCAGCCTTGCTAGTCGGCCTTCCAAGGCTTATGGCACCTTCATGGGCATAACGTGGAAGAAGCCCAATTTTGCTCTCATGTACACTGGATTCTCACTTGGGGGTTGTCAAAGATGTGGCTGAATCTTACCCAAGCTAGTCAGTGATAAAAGTTAATTTGGACCTCAGCCTCTGATGATGTTCCAAGACAAACCAGAGGAGATTTATACAAGTTTTTAATATAAAATGCTTCTCCATTGTATTTATTTCTGTGTATAAGGTAATACTCAGAAACAAAGCCTGAAGTTTTTTCCTTGGTCCTTATGTATAACCCAATACCCAGACTTTGGCCATGGGGTACAACTTCTTAATCTGAATCTCTGTCCTCATTTCATGCACTGCAGGTATGAAAATGAAAGTCATCAGAAAAGAAGCAAATCACCTGAATTTCCAGCAAAACTAGGTGAACAGGTGAGGGAAAATATTCAAGTTTGGGCTCTGGATCTTTTTTGATGATAGGAAATCACTTATATGAACTTTAACAAATGATTTCTCACTTTAAATCATTGAATAGGAAGATGACTTCCTAGTTATAGTAGAAAAATATAATTAAGGTATAGGAAACAAGTGGGACTTAGACATAGTAAAATAATCCACAACATTTCTTCTTTGTTATTGAAAATGGGTACTAAATCAGGCTTACACTTTTGTCCAAAAAGTCTCCTATAGTATGTCTGATCTTGGAAGCCTATGTTTAGGACAATTCCAACCCATGGTAGTAAAATTTTGGAACTACATTATCCTGTGATTTATTTTGTCTCCTATTTATTGTACTCATCCATGTTTATGTATCTAGAATAATCACAGTGTGGAAATTGTAAGTACCAAAGATTCTTCCCAGTTTTGATGGATGAAAATGGAATTGAGTTCCTGTGCATTGCCTGTGAGAGAATCTTATTACTGAGTATATTAGCATAGAATAGGTATGCCAGTGGTACAGCTTATTGGAACACAATTCTGGGCCAGGGATTTAGCTCAGTGGTTTTGCCACCTGCTGCACAAGCGCAAGGGCCCAAGTTCAATCCCCGGTACCAAAAAACCCCCAAAAACAATTCTGGGCACCTTTTGGGAGATTTAGTGAGACTTAGTAGCTTTAGGATAAGCTCTGAGAATTTCTTTTTAGGAAGCACTCAAGCTTTATATGAACTATTGTGAGTTTCTTAGCTTGGAAAACTTTAGATACACCTGCAATTAGCAATAGGGACTTACTTTATTTCAAAGTCTGTCATGTTAAATACTGCTTCTTCCCTAGAGGAGCAACTGTAATGTTGAGCCTGGTGCTCATCAGCTCCTGTAGTGCAAACTATTTTTGAAGTATCCCTCATATCAGCCATCATTTAGCTTGATAGTAGGTATAAGTAAATAAGCAGAAATTTGGTCTATGTTTAATTATAGAACTGGGTTAGATATATGTCACTCAGTGTAGGACTTATCTGTTTTGTTATTGGTCTGTAATAAAATGCATTAAAATTGAGTTTGTAGAAACTATTTCAGTAATTTGACAGGGGTTTTATGGCTACTTGATCACAGAAAAGTACGATTGTATTATACATATTTAAATTTTATTAATAGCTCATTTTTGTTGCTTGGTCATAAGATTCTTGGTCTGCTTCAGATTGGAAATAAAAAACTCATCTTTCATTTGGATAGCTTTAGAAATAATGTCTTAAGTATCAATAAATTTGAAGCTGATTAAAGGAAAAAGTTAAATTCTTTGACTTTGGTGATAGCTTTTAGATTTTTTTCTTGGTAATCCAAGTGATATGCTTTTTCTCCTATGGAACGTCAGACTTTTATACATGTTATTTGTTAGCTCTCTCCTTCTAAAAAATTCATATAGAGAAAGCACAGGCATCATCTGATGGGGACCAGGCAGGAATAGTGGGTCTAGTTTTGCAGACACATATGGGTGTGCTGCTTCTACTTGTGCCTTAACTGCTGTGCTCTTTGATACACACTGGGTATCTGCCAGCCAGGAGGACACAGATGCTAGGTGGTCCCTTAATTCATCAACAGGTGCTGGGCCCATTTCTGATGAAACTAATGACAATGTCAATAGTTCTTCCTATGGTAGGTTAACAGGTTAGGTGATATTTAACTTTAGCTTTAGTTCTTCCTTCATATAATGTTGGGAGATACATAATTTAAAGAAAGTAATAAAAACTCTGAGGTTTTATTTAAGTTATTTTAAGCCTAGAATTTTTTTAAAGTCAGCTAAAATGTGCTTGTGTCATGACCATTAACTCCTAAATGACTTGAGCCCACTTCTCAAAATTTCTAAAAGTCACATAGGCGCCATTTGGCAAAGAAGATAATTAATAAGAAAAACATTTTCATGTTAAGATGACCAGCATTTAAGAAGGCTCTTAAATTGCTGTTTGTATTTTCCCAATTTACAGAAATCTACACGGCGTTCCTCAAGAGCAAGCTTCTCTGCTGACTTTGGTTCGTACTGATTGGGTTCTGTTCTGGGATCCTCGAAATCAGATCACTGTCACAGTGGCAAGGGAGGGACAAAGAGGGCACAGGTGTGAAATACCCGCTCCCAGAACTCCAAATGACACCGGCATTTAACGTGTCAAACACAGGCAGATAGCTGAGTTTACTTCCCCTAGTGCTTGATGGGGTACTTTGTTTAAGGCAGAGTCTAAGTGTACATAAATTGCCTTTTCTATTGTAATTTAATTTCAAGTAGTTTGATAGCATATATTCTCTCATTATTAGTTATTAGATTATTTATTTGGGTTGAAATACTATTATAAGACAAATTTTAAGCATTATGTAATTTGTAGACTGAATGAAAAGTTAGGTTGTAAGGCAATTTGAAACAATTAAAATACTGAATTCCACAAATGTTCATCACTGAGAAAATGTTGAACCTTTTGTTTCTTATTTCCTAATTTGTTGCCAAGATGGGAAAGATCAAGATTCCAAGGCCCATTCAAACATCACTGAAGGAAATGCTTCAGGAAGGTCTGGAGTACATGTCAAGGAACTCAAACGGAACAGTCTTACTTCAGATGGCTCAAAGGACAGTGCTGGCCAGGAACCACTTAAGGCTCCTTCTTCAGAATGTCCAAGACATAGTAACAGGAATGCAAGAAATCCCACCACTGAGGATTTTAAGGAAAAGTCCAGGGTAACTATAGTGGGCTGCTACGGAGAACTGAATTCTTTTCCTACTACACAGTTTCTTGACAATGGCAAGAAAAATGAGTCTCCCTTTAAGAATCTCTATCAGTCAATAAAGGAAGAGTTTGGTGTAAAATCACAAAGACAAAATGTTGTGCAGTATCGTAGAAAATCAGAATCACCAACTGCTTACACAGCAGAAAAGGATGGCGCTAATTGTTCACAGAAAGAGACTCAGCTATTGATGTCATGTAAATCAAGACCAAAGTCCAATAGAAGCACCCACATTAATGGTGCTTCTTCACCTGTACCAGAAATGAGCCAGGCTGAGGAAAACAAAAATGATGCAGAGCTTATTCAGACTTCCAAAGAAGTTTTAAGTTCGAGCATTTCTCTCTTTGAGGTGACAGTAAAGACCCCTGTGCAGCATTCACAACAACAAAGATCATCACGGAAACGTAAGAGTGAAGACCTGCATGTTACTGACAGAGAAGAATCTGTGAATCTGGGTAAGAGTGAAGGCAGCAAGGCATTTGAAACAATTACTCCCAGGAAGGTTTTGACTAGAAATCAAACATCAACTAAAGTTGAGGATGCTGCCCACCCTGACAATAAACCAGGAAATCTCTCCTAAAAGGAGGAGGAATAATCCTACAAATGTGAAAGTGTTGCATAGAGAAATTCAAAATCAGCCTCCTTTAACTCAGTGCCTTGCTCAAGTTGAAAGGAAGTTTCAAAAGGATTCCCTTGACAAGCCTGAGAAATTGGGCATTACACCTGGACAGATTGGCTCTGGGTTACTTGGTCTTAGTTCAGTTGATATCAGCAACTTTGGTGGTTCCATTAGTAAGTTTGTTTAAGTATAAATCTGTTTTCCCCAAAATGATTAACACGTACTTTATGTGTAGATAAAGAGACCTTTATTCAGTCATTGATTAGCTTAGTAGTCAGGAATCTGCTAAGCATTTAGGATACAATAAGAGACATGTTCACGTTTTAGCTGAGAGATGAGTGCTAAAGACCCAGAAAATTATAGCAAGGCACAATAAAGGAGGTACAGGCCCTTAGATAAACATAGTACAGGAGGCTACCCCAAAACATTTGGTTCACCTTTCCTTTTATCACAAAATAGGAATAAAAATAATCATAATTACTTTTTACTTGTGGTTCATTTCTGAGACACTAGCATATAAAAGTTTGGTTGTTTAGAATAAGTCCCTGGAAATCTCTTAGGGATCATTGAACATAGTGCTATCCATCACATATTTACAGTCTCCACTGTGCTCTTAGAGTCTCCTGCAAGCACTTTTTTTTATAATCACTGGACAAGACCCAGAGGCTCTATGCCAGGCTAAGTTTTACACTGTTCACAGACATTAGTGCTGAATGGCCATCGTAGTAGGAATGTCCAAAAGGGATTTTCTTTTTATGTGCCTGTTGCAAATAGGAAAACTGACAATCCAAGTTCACGCAGTATGCAGCAGAGATATGGCTCTCACAGTGAGCATAGGAGCTTTATCCATCTTCCTGTGTTCTTCAGGAAGGGCTGGATAATAGGAAAGGTTTCCAGGCATTTGGAAACAGCCATCTTTATAGCAGGGCCCAGTTTCTGCAGATGGCCTGTGTGCGTGGAGGGAGTGTAAATATCTATAAAATGTGACCTGTACCTGTCATCAGTGTTCCATTGAGCTTCATATCAAGGAAGTCTCACTTGGCCAAAGGATTTATATTGATTGGTTGTTCAGCAAGTGGTATGGTAGAGGCTGGGTCACACACTGATCATCAGCATTGCCTAGAAAAGTTTTCACAGCTCATGCATTCTCTTTGCTAGGCAGGTCCTCTCTGAGCCCAAATATGTGTTTTAAAAAGGTATTTCATGCCACTGCTAAAAGCCTATCTCCATCGTGTCCCGTTGCTCCAGATTGCCTACTGCTGCTGCAGACTGATCCCTTGCTTACGTTACATCCAGGTGTAGTTTTTTTTTTTAACATTTTAAAGGCAGTCTGTCTTATCCAGGTAGAACTTGATGTCTTAGTGGTTTCTCTTGAGATCTCTCAAGAAGTCCTAAGGCAGATTTGGCTTTACAAGAGAATGGTCAGATTTCAATAAGTTTTTGATAAGTTTTTAATACTAATTTGACAGAAATCAAGTCTTGGTATGGTATTTTCATTGCTCATTCCATATTTATATTCCTTACTTTAGATAAGAATGAGGATGTGTCTTTGAAGAGAAGGCGTGTGTCCTTTGGTGGTCATCTAAGACCTGAATTATTTGATGAAAACTTGCCTCCTAATACACCTCTCAAAAGAGGAGAAACACCAGCCAAGAGGAGGTCTCTTGGAACTCATACTCCAGCTGTCCTAAAGAAAATCATCAAGGTAAGCTTGAGATTAGTTTTCTCTCCCTACCTAGTGGCTCACACAGCTAGTACACATTCCTTCCAAAGTCTTGACATAGTATAATTATGGTAGAATTAATCATTGTTTTTCTAATAAGTTTTTTAAACTCTATAAAGTAATAGCTCATTTATATGGGTGCTGGAAAGGAACATCTGAGCTCCCAATTGTGGCTCTAAGGTGGCTGAGTAGGGAGTAGGTTCAGTGTTCAGCACTTTTCCCTTCAGTGCAGGATACCCTGATATGTTACACCTATAGGGCCACAGAACCACTGTGGGTCACACTAGAAATGACCAGTTATATCTGGATACACTGGCACATATAACTACAGAGTCACTTTATTTTGTTTTAAGATTATAAGGGTAAAAGAAGGCATTTAACTGATGAGAAGAAAAATCTTTGATGGTAAAACATCTCTTTCACACAATCAGCTTTTTAAATCTTTTAGTCATTTATTGCTTCATGTTGTTGGGTTCCCTTGTTTTTAAATCCCTGGAAAGTTATGGCCACATAGCTCACCTCCATAGCAAGGATTTTTCAGGCTTTTTCTGTTAGTACCAAAAGGGATGGGAAGACACACCTAGCTCCTGCTTTATCCTGTCTAAGGAAAGTTAGCAGCTTTCTTTCCATGCAGACCCAGGACTGGATGACAATAACTAGCGTTGGTCAGAGCTCTCTTGGCTCACTGAGCAGGATATTCTCTGCATCTTCCCACCTCAGATACTTCAATTCAGACTTGATGAATGCTTTTACTTCCTTTCTCTTTTCTTCAGTGAGTGGCACAAACTTAACCTCTACTTTAACTTTGAAAGACAGTAGTTTGAACATTCAATCCTTCAAGATTTAAACAGCTGAAATTCTTTGAATAGATTTTTAACAGGCATAAGAGATGTTATATATCCTTGACAAGATTTCTCATTAGCATTTCTGTCTTGTCAGGAGCAGCCTCAATCATCAGGAAAAGAAGAATCTTCAGAAGTGAAAGCACACAATGTATGCATAGATGCTCAAGCTCCTAATCCTAGAATAACTTCCACAAGGACAAATGATCAAAAGGGAAGGTCAGTGAAGGCCTCCACTGCCTCTAATAATGGGAAATCTCCACATGAGACAGACATGCCTAAGAAAGCAGGGAGGAAGAGTGGCCATTTGGCTTCAAAGAGAGGGTCCATCAGTCGAAGTCAGCATGACATTTTACAGATGATTTCTTCCAAAAGAAGAAGTGGTGCCTCTGAAGCCAATCTAATTGGTGAGTATTGTATTGGCAAATATATTTTAAGGTTAGTTTTCTCATTAAGACTATTTTTGAAAAACTTCACTGTCTTTTCTCTTTGATAGTTGCAAAATCATGGGCAGATGTGGTAAAACTTGGTGCAAAACAAACACAAACGAAAGTTGTGAAACATGGCCCTCAAAGGCAGATGAACAAAAGACAAAGAAGACCTAATACTCCAAAGGTATAAGGTTATAATAAAAATTGCTTGTTTATACACATTTATATTAAGATTTCTTCAAATGTATGTTTATGCTTTGATGTTTTATCTATCTTATTTTTTTCCTACAGAAGCCTTCGGTCAGTGTTCATAATCAGTTTAGTACAGGTCATGCAAACTCTCCTTGTACCATAATAATAGGGAAAGCTCAGATTGAAAAAGTAAATGTGCCTGCTCAGCCCTACAGAATCCTGAACAGCTTTGTTTTCAACAAAAAAATGGACTATAATGAAGATCTCTCAGGTAAAAACAGCCTGAGCATCTATAAATCATAATCCTATTTGTGACTTTTTGATGTTTGTTTACCTTTGTTTATCTGTTTTGAGAGCAGTTATATAATAAATAATGGAGGCAGCCATCTGGGCTCATAGTATTCAAGGAAGATAAAGCTAGTTAATATAAGCACAGGTCTCTGCAGATCACATCCTATGAGAAGTAGGTATGAAAATCTCAAATATATGCCTTTCTGGAGAACAGTATAGACACAGAAAATTAGAAAGTGTTTTAGAATAGAGAGTGCCATGTGCTTTTTATGATTGCTTTCTTTGAACTAGTGGTTCTAGAGGTGGATCAGCTGCTTTTAGAGCAATATTTCAATATTTACTTTCTAGGTGACTTGACTTTCTTGAAAGAAAGCACTATGAGATGAAGGTTCTTTTAAACCATAAGTAACTGAGCAAATGTTCCTAGTTGATTCCCACTCTCAGTAAAAATGTGACCTCACCTACTTAGAAATTACAACCATGACAAGAAGCACAATCCCCTGTACCCCCCCCCCCGCCAAAAAAAAGAGTAATGCCGGGGATTTAGCTCAGTGGTTCTGCCGCCTGCCTCACAAGTGCAAGGTCCAGAGTTCGATCCCCAGTACAAAAAAACAAAAAGAACAACAAAACATCAGTAACTACTAAAAACTAAAGTCAGTATTTTCAGTAGGGCCTGGAAGGTGGAGGGAGACTTTAAGTGAATAGATTCATTTGGATGGGAGCCTCAGAGTAGGCTTCCCAGGCTTATTCTACAGTTATACCAGATTAAGAACATTTTCATCCACTCCTGCCAACATGAAAAGGAAAACATGGGTGAATGTATTTTTCAGCAAGCTAGATCTTCCATGTGAAGTGCTATATTCTTATTTTGTAGGATCCTTTGCTTGCTTGGTGTTAGAATGGAATGGATAATTTTTAATTACATATATTGAATATTTTATTTAAACATAAATCACATTACTTGACAATGGGCAATATTCTGTCATTTTCTAAAATTTGAGAACATGTCATTTATATGTAAACTCTAGAACTGAGGAGCCCAAGACTTTTAGAAGAAGGCATGAGCTCCTTGGTACCTGCAGGTAATGCCCTGAGAGGAAAGCTTCATGACCAGCTTCTGTCTTGGTGAGATAGGTTGAAAGAGAAGCCATATATACTTTTCTTTACTCTCTTTAAAAAATTGAGTACATTATTAATAGAATCACTCTTTTTATGAGATATTAGGTACCAGGAGTCCTAGGGATTTATCTGAGTTTACTTTCTATCATTTAGTTTGTTATATGTGAGTTCTGGGGTAGCTGTGTATGTCAATAATATATTTCAAATATTTTCATTTATCAGGGCTAACTGAAATGTTTAAGACTCCAGTGAAGGAGAAGCCACAAATGAGCACGTGTTCTGTCACATTCTCCAATTCAGACAATTTCCTTGGAAAAAAGTCTAAAGTAATTAGTTCAGGAGAAGAATCTCTGTCCATCCCTTCAGTGAATTTAGGTTGGTTTATTTCTTTTCTGACACTGTTATGCTTTTGGATAGGAACTGATAGATAGTATTATTACTTTACAACCAATATTGTGTTATTTTTTTACAACAGATATTCCTGGTAAATGCCATTTCTGTCTTCTCTCTTCTGTTAGTTAAGCAGAGATTCTCATCAGCAGTTGAACTGCTTTGTATTCATTGACATGCATAGTCAGTTAATAAGTTAAGTGAGTTTTCCACACTTTTAGCTTCCTATATATAGTAAAGATGATCTAGCAGAAAAGTACACTGTCTCATACTTAACATTATAAATTACTCAAATTCAAAATTATTGCAAGTTATAAAAGAGAAATATAGTGATTTGTGTACTGTCTCTATTGTCCCTAATCTTACAAATGGGAGCAAGCCCCAGGGTGAGGGTGGGATGTGAGATGAGTCTATATTACTGTCTCATTTGGTACTGGTCACTGTGTTCCAGTCGTAGAAGGAAAAGCTTGCCAACCTGCACGTGCTTGCTGTAGTTAAAAGGTAGATGTGTCCTGTATAATATGGACCCTGAGCATACCCAGTAAAAAAATAGAGATGTTTGTTTCTTATATTTGAAGAAAACAATGCAAAAACAATTCAAAGCAATGGTGCATGGTATGGCAGCCTTCAAAGACCTTTCTTAGGAATTTTTTTTCCTTTAGGTAATCATTGTAGATCCTAACCACCACTTGATGATTCTGCTCTGTGATGGCCTGTGTGTAGATGTCCCCCCAAAGCCTCATGTGGTTGTAGGTGGGGCTTTTCAGAGGTGGTTGTATCTAGAATGTGTGATGCTAGGATCCAGGGTGTGTCACTACTAAATTAGTCCACTGATTGGTTTGGCATAGTTCTAGGAGTGGATAATGGAGCATTATTGGTGTGGACAGAATATAAGGGACAGAAAGAGGGCTGCTGTGGTCGCTTGTCACTTGCTGCTTTACTGCCTTCTGCCTGCCATGAACTATTTCTCTTCTGTGATGCCTCTCTGCCATGCCACCCTGCCTTAGAGGCAGCCAGCTATTAACTGAAACCTCCACGAACTGTAAACTACAATAAACCTTTCCTCCTTTAACTTTGGGTGTCAGGTATTTTGTCTCAGCAACAAGAAAAAGTAAGAAATACTCTATCACCAAAAACATCGTACTTAACAGTAGATGGCTCATAAATAAGACAGATTTATGACCACATTAGTAGCCTCTTGTTCTTAGTAAGGTTGATAAGAAACCAAAATACTGGTTTTTATACTCTATTTCATGAGGATAAAACACTAAGTTGACATAACACAGTGGATGTAATGTATTTATTGTATGTATATTTCATTTCTTACAGGAGAAAATGTGTACTCTAGTGCTCAGAATGCAGCAGAAGAACCATCTGATAAATGTTTTGAAAGTCCTATGTTAAGAAGAAAGTGTATAAAGGGAGATGAAACGATAGTAAAAACTCCTAAGAACTTCCATAAATTGACTCATTTTAAGATGAAAACTCCAGATTCTATGACAGAGCCTCTGACGACAGTATCAAATACAAATAAGTTGAGAAGGTCTATGGAGCTCAGAAAAATGCAGATGCTACCTGTAGAAAGTAAGAATGAAAACAAAGAAGCAGACATTACTGAGAACTTCATAGGAAAAAGCCTGAGGAAGACACCACTTCGAGAAAAGGAAAAAGAGAGAGAGATGAAGGATAGTGAAAGATCTTTAGAAACATGTAAGGAAAATGTGGAATCAAATGAAAATTCTGGAAAGGTAACAACAGTGAGGCGATCAAGAAGTGGGGGAAAGAAGTATGAACCCACAGATGACCTGACAGCCCTCAAGAGAACACCAGAAAGAGAACCCACGGAATATGTATCAGGTACCCAAATGATTCTGCAAAAAACGGATTGTGCTAAAGAATCAACAAATGAGGCAGGGACAACTACTAAAATGCCCCGCAAATCTTCACAGCCAGAACCAATCCACTCTTCAACAAGCAGGAAGAGACAGCTAAAGACACCTCAGCGAAAAGTGGATGTGAAAGAAGAGGTGCCTGCGCTGAGGAAGCACTCGAAAATATCAGAGGAATATACACACATAGTAGGTGATGATAAAAGTATGGAAGTGTTTAAGGAAACTCCAAAGCAGAAATTGGACCCAGGAGTATATGCAACAGAAATGAAGAGGTGGTCAAGAACGCCTAAAAAATCCCAACCTCTGGAAGACCTAGCTGGCATCAAAGAACTAGTCCAAACACCAGAACACTTAGATGAGCCCGTACATGAATACAAACCTAAAGTGCCTTGTGGATCTCCACATACAAAAGCAATGGATACCCCAAGAAAGAAAAACACATTGCTCAACACACTCCTGAGGAAAGTGGATATAAAAGAAGGGAAGGCCATGCATACCCCCAAAGCAACAGAAGGTGATGACAAAGGCATTAAAGCTTTCAAGGAATCTGCAAAGCAAACACTAGATCCAGCAGCAAATACATCTAGCAGCAAGAGATGGCCAAGAACACCTAAGGCAAAGGCTCAGACCCTAGAAGACCTGACTGGTTTTCAAGAGCTCTTCCAAACACCAGGCCACACCAAGGACTCAATTACTGAACGAGAGGACCAGTCAAGACCAGTGGATACTTCAACAACCTCAAAGAGACGTTCTAAGACAAGTCTGGGGAAAATAGATGGGAAAGAAGAGCTCTCAATACCTAGAAAACTAACACAGTCACCAGGCAGAGCCATGCACACACCTTCAGTACCAATTCAGAAGGGGAAAAACATCAGAGAATCTATGCAAACTCCAAAGCAGAAACTAGATCTGACAGAAAATTTAACAGAACTTAAAAGACCAGCACGAACACCTAAGACAAAGGCCCAGCCTCTAGAAGATTTGGCTGGCTTCCAAGAGCTCTTCCAAACACCAGGCCACTCCAAGAACTCATCGACTACAGAAGAAACCCCAAGAACACTCTTCAGATCTCCACAACCAATGCCATTGTGCACTGCAACAACCTCAAAGAGACATTCTAAAATAAGTCTAGGGAAAGTAGATATGAAAGAACAGCTCTCATCACAGAAGAAAGTAACACAGTTACCAGGCAAAGCCACGCACACTCCTTTGGTACCAGTTCAGGAGAAAGGTATCAGAACATCTACAGAAACTCCAAAGCAGAAACTGGACCAGAGAGAAAGTTTAGCTGGATTTGACAGATGCCTGCAAACACCTGAGACAAAGGCCCAGCCCCTAGAAGACCTGATTGGCTTCCAGGAGCTCTTCCAAACATCGGGTCATGGCAAGGACCCCATGACTTCTGAGAAGACCACAAAAATGCTCTGTAGATCTCCACAATCAGCACCAGTAGACACCCCAACTTCAAAGAGATGTCGGAAGACAAGTCTGGGGAAAGTGGATGTAAAACAAGAACTCTCATTAGTGAGAGGGCTAACTCAAATGTCAGAGCAAACCGTGTACACACTGAAAGTGAAAGTAGGTGGTGGTGACAAAAGTATCTGCTGTGATGCATCTGCAGAGCAGACCCTGGACCCATCCACAAATGTATCTGGCAGCAGGAGACAGCGAAGAAGAACTAAGACAGAGACTCAGCTCCTAGAAGATCTGACTGGCTTCCAAGAGCTCTTCCAAACACCAGGTGATGCCAAGGACCCAATGATTGTTGAAATCACAAAAATGCCCTGCGTTTCTCCACAACCAGGGCCACTTAGAACACCACCAACCTTAAACAGACGTCCCAGGACAAGTCTGGGGATAGTGGATATGAAAGAAGTGCTATCAGCCCCCAGGAAACCAACACAGTCACCAGCCAAATCTTTGCACACACATACAGTACCAGTTCAGGAGGAGAAGGGCATCAAAGCATCTGCTGAAACTCCAAAGCAGAAACTGGACCCAACTGAAAGTTTACATGGACTCAAGAGACAGCCACAAACACCTAAGGAAAAGACCGAGGCCCTAGAGGACCTGACTGGCTTCCAAGAGCTCTTTCAAACACCTGATCATGCCAAAGATCCAATAACTCCTGATGAAACTACAGAAATGTCTAGTAGATTTATACAACCAGGATCACTGAACACCCCAGCAACTTCAAAGAGACGTCCTAAAATAAGTCTGGAGAAAGCAGATAGGAAAGAGATGTCTGCTCTGAGGAAGCTCATGCAAACAACAGGGGAAGCCATATCCACATCCAAAGTACTAGAGGGTGATGACAAAGTGTTTAAGGATTTTGTAGAACAGAAACTGATACCAGTACCAACAAGCAACAAGAGGCAGCCAAAGAAACGTAAAGAGAAAGTCCCACCCTTGGAAGACCTAGTTGGCTTCCAGGAGCTCTTCCAAACACCAGGCCATGCCAAAGACCGAATAATTACTGATGAAACTACAAAAATGCCCTGCGTATCTCTGCAAACAGAATCAGTGAACACTCCAACAAGAGTAGTGAGATGGTCTACAACAAGTCTAGGGGAAAAAAATGTGAAAGAACACTTAGCAGTGAACAGTTTAACACAAATACCTGGGAAAATTGCATACACACATGAAGATCCCACAGATGATAAAGGTAATGAAGTGTTTAATAAATCTACAAAGCAGAAACCCAACTCAGGAGAAAGTGTTACTGGCAGCAAGAGACTAAGAGGAGAATCTAAGAAAAACTCTCAACCCCTAGAAGACCTGACTGGCTTCAAAGAGCTCTTCCAAACACCAGGTCACACTGAGGAATCAGTGAGTGATGAACAAATTACAAATATGCCTTGCAGATCACAACCAGAATCAGTGAACACTCCCAGAAGGAAAAAAACATTACCCAGCACACCCAGAGGGAAAGGGGATACAAAAGAAGAACAAGTCATACGTACACCAAAAGCAATAGAAAGTGATGACAAAAGCATTAAAGCTTTTAAGGAATCTGCAAAGCACACACTGGACCTAGCAGCAAATATATCTGTTAGCAGGAGATGGCCAAGAATACCTAAGATAAAGACCCATGTTCTGGAAGACCTGACTGGCTTTCAAGAGCTCTTCCAAACACCAGACCATGCCAAAGACCCAATGACAACTGATGAGACTGCAAAAATGCCCTGCTCATCTCTGCAAGCAGGACCACTGTACACTCCAACCTCAAAGAGATGTTCTAAGAGAAGTCTGGGGAAAATAGATGGGAAAGAAGAGCTGTCATCACTCAGGAGACAAATGGAGTCACCAGGCAGAGCCATGTACACGCCTTCAGTACCAGCTCAGGAGCAGGAAGGCATCAGAGCATCTACAGAAACTCCAAAGCAGAAACTGGAGCTGACAGAAAATTTAACTGCACTTAGGAGACAGTCACAAACACGTAAGGCAGAGGCCCAGTTTCTGGAAGATCTGTCTGGTTTCCAAGAGCTTTTTCAAACACCAGACCATGCCAAAAACCCAATGAAAACTGAAGAAAGTACAAAAATGCCCTGCACATCTCTGCAAGCAGGACCACTGTACACTCCAACCTCAAAGAGATGTTCTAAGAGAAGTCTGGGGAAAATAGATGGGAAAGAAGAGCTGTCATCACTCAGGAGACAAATGGAGTCACCAGGTAGAGCCATGTACACGCCTTCAGTACCAGCTCAGGAGCAGGAAGGCATCAGAATATCTACAGAAACTCCAAAGCAGAATCTGGACTTGATAGAAAATTTAACTACACTTAGGAGAGAGTCACGAACACCTAAGGCAAAGGCCCAGCCTCTAGAAGATCTATCTGGTTTCCAAGAGCTCTTTCAAACACCAAGCCATACCAAGGACCCAGCGATTGCAGACAAAACCCCCCAAACACTCTGCAGTTCTCAGTCAACACCAGTGGATACTCGGACAACCTCAAAGCGATGTCCTAAGACAAGTATAGGAAAAATGGATGTGAAAGAGCTTTCATTCGTGAGAAAAAAAACATTGAGGGAAACTGTGCACACACACAAAGAAGCCATAGATGATAAAGATAATGAAGTGTTTAAGGAATCTGCCAAGCGAAAACTGGACCGAGCAGAAAATGGACCTGGCACCAAGAGGCTGCAGCGAGCACCCAAGGAAAAGGACCAAGCCCTAGAAGACCTGGGTGGCTTCCAAGAGTTCTTCCAAATGCCAGGACACTCTGAAGAATCTGTTAGTGATGAAAAGGCCACAATAACACCCTACATATCTCCACAATCTGAACCGGTCAGAACCCAAGCAAACACAAAGAGAGGCCCCAGGACAAGAGTCAGAAAAGTGAACGTGAAGGAAGATTCCTCAGCAATGCAAAAGCCAACCCGAATGTCAAGGGCCACTATTCACACCTCTAAAGTACCAGAATGTGGTGACAAAGGCATTGAACCTTTGAAGAAACTTGAAAAGAAAACACTGGACCTTGCTGCAGGTGTAAGTGGCAACAGGAGATGGCCAAGAGCAGCTAAGGCAAAAGCTCAGCCCTTACAAGACCAGGCTGGCTCTAGAGAACTAAGCCAAACATTAAGCCACACTGAGGAATTAGTGAGGGATGAAAAAACCACAAAAATGCCCTGCAGGTCCTCACAACAGGAACCAGGGGACACTTTAACAACCTCAAGGAGAGGACCCAGGACAAGATTTGGGAAAGTAGACATGACAGAAGAGCTCTCAACACAGAGAAAGCAAACAGGAACAACAGGAGAGACCGTGAACACACACAAAGAACCTACAGATGATAGTAAAAGTATCAAAGAGTTTAAGGAATCAACCAAGCGAAAACTGGAACCAGAAGAAGATGTAACTGCCACCAAGAGGCTGCGAGGGACACATAAGGAAAAGACCCAACTGCTGGAAGATCTGGCCGGCCTCAAAGAACTAATCCCCAAACCAGCTTACACTGAGGAATCATTGAGGGGTAAAAAAACTACAAAAATGCCCTGCAAATCTTCACAACCAGAACCAGTGGACGCTCCAACAAGCACGAAGAGGCAACTCAGGGCAAGACTTGGGAATGTCAATGTAAAAGAAGGACTCTTGGTTGTGAGGAAGCCAACACGAACCTCAAGGGCCATCACCCACACCTCCAAAGTGCCAGAAGGTGAAGACAAAGACATCAAAGCTTTTAAGGAATCTTCAGAACAGGCACTGGACCCAGCCACTAGTGTAACAAGCAACAGGAGGTACCCAAGAGCATCTAAGGCAAAGTCTCAAGTGGAAGACCTACCTAGCCCTAAAGAAATAAGCCAAATCCCAGACCATACTGAAGAACAGATAAATGATGTTCATAACCTGAAGAGCAGTCTACAGCAAACACCTGACAGTATAAAACCTCTGAAAACATTTAGAAGGGTTCTTAGGGTCCCCAAAGAAAAATCCATAGATTTGGTGGACACCAAAGACCCTGCAGCATCACAGAGCAAAAGTAACATATCACTGGCCCCCAAGTGGAAATCTGGACAAGACAGAAATATCTCAAGAACCAGGGGCTGCGTGACTACACTACGGGACACAATAGGAGAGAATCTGGTTCACAATAAGCAGAGGACTACTCCCAGGGAGAGATACAAATCCCGTGATCCCTTGAACATAATGAAGAAACGTGTGAGAGTTGTTATGAACAGAATTGAATCTGTAGAAGAACAGAACAATAATATGAAATCTATCAAAAAAGAACACACGGTACAAGACTCAAGCACTCCAAATAAGGTGAGGGGCAGTGTTACATTATTATGTGTCATCGTGGGTGGATATGATTCTTTTCTGTGTACTAATTTGTACAGGACCTGATAGTGTATATAATTATAAGTGGATATCCTTTTTCATAAGGGTTTCTTTTGAATACTGTTAATAACTTTGGTAAAAGGCTCTGATAAATCTGAGATTTACATAGACATTAGACTGCTTCTGTAAAAAAAACTAGTCAAAATAATGATTGGAACATTGAATTATAAAGGTGAATAATATATGTTCATTTTCACTTTAAGAAATTAATCAGAAAAAAGATGGACTATTCAGTTCTGTGTTCATGACACTATTACCAAGGCCAGGGATGGGTACAAGTAGAACATAAGCCAGTATTTCAGCAGTGAGAGTATTCTCAATAGGGAGTGCAGAACAGAATTGTGTGATTACCATAACATCCAAAACTCCAGAAATCTATTTCCTGTCAGCTATCATTGTTAAAGGACTAGAATTCATTTGCCATTTATGTAATGAGACAATTTTCAATAATGTAAACTGTAGTTATTTAGATTTGATTTTCTCCTTGTTGAATTTGTTTTTTTTTTTCCTGGTACCGGGGATCTTACTTGGGACTTTATGCTTTTGAGGCAGGCAGTAGAACTACTGAACTAAATCCCTGGCCCTCTCCCTGTTGAATTTTGAGATGTGTTTTACTCATTTTTGAAATTTTGTGAATGTCATTTCATTTCTGTAGGGAATGTCTTTGCGCTCCAGACACCAAAATAAAACTGATGTAAACCAGCAAAAACTTGAAATTCCTATATCAGAAAAAGCCAAACTAAAGAGACATGAAAAGAAGTCCATGAAGACATCTGAAGAATCAGAGCAACAGATCCCAGGTGATGGAGCTGGGAAACCTACATCTAAGGGCAAAGTTGGTGGAAACAGGATATGCTTGAGACCTGGAAGACAAAATAAGAGCTCCCAGCCTCATACAGCAGAGGAGGATGTAAAGGAGAAAAACATGGAAATCTTTGTGAAGAATGGGAAAGAAAATGAAGTAACCAATAATTCAGACACTGTAAGTTTGAGATCCAGAAGGGCTAGAATTCAGCCAAAAGGAAACACTTTGGAGAGTGACTCTGAGCAAAGAATAACTCGAGGTGCCAAGAAATGTGCAGAAAATCCAAAGAAGGTATGTATTTCACTATTTTTATAAAAAAAGAATGTTTGGGTATATTTATGCCCACTGCAGCAAAGGCAAATGAAAAACACTATTATAGCATTATGGTGCCAGTTCTCATTTATAGAAGAAGCATCAATCTAAGCCATGCATTTTATTCTGATAGCTATATTATGTCATTTTTGAGAATTCTACTTTAATTAATGGTTTTATGTTATTGAAGACATTGAGAAAGATCTAGGAATTTATTTGTTTGCAGCTATCTGCTTATGGTGCAACTTATATGAAAGTTATGTATTGCTGGTTATGTCTTAAATTGGTAAATTGGTCTTCAGTTCATCAAAATTTGCTAAAAGCAAAAAGTAGCTATGTCTGGATATCAGAGGATTTCCTTTGCAAAGCCAGAATAAACAAATCCTGGAGATTCTGAAGACAAATTGCACTCTAAATTCTACCCAGACGCTACGTGTGTCATTTCACTCTTCCCAGCCAAACAGTAGCTAAGCTAATGAGCTATATGTGATACTAAAACCAGATCAAATTTATTAGCTCATGAATTACCTGTAATTTGAATAATCCATAGTGGATGATTAAATTCAATTAGTGTTCTGGGGAATATAATGATTTTGCTAGTTTAATAAGAGGTGGACAATACCTTTTTGTGAATGCTATATAATTGTTCTTCACATACAGACATTGAATTTATAACTATTCTGAGATCAGCCAATGAAATGAAGGTAGCAACTGCCACTTGGCCTACAGAATCGCGGCAAGTCTAGTTGCTTAGACTGGTGGTGTTTAGAACAAGCCAGGAACTTGAACTGACACCTCTGAGTCAAGATTCCCAGATGCTCTCAACACATACCACAGTCAACAGTGAGCTAAGCAAGAGGATTCTCCTTGCTGGCTGGTAGCAAGAAGCCTTTGTGAGGAGGTATGGGTAGAATGTTCCAGAGAGAGGGAGGAGGAGAGGCTCTGGGAAGCAGAGTGATGCCATGCATGTGCCAGAAATTAGAGTATCTGGAAGCCAAAGACATCTGATAGTGGCATGACATGATCACAAGACAGACCAAGGAGACACCAGGATCTCAGCCTCATGTGGTTAATATATGCATCTCCTGTTCCAATTTTAAAGACAGTTTAGGCTCTATACACTTACAGATTCATAGTTTGGAGAATAGTGCCTTATCAGAATGAGATTTAAGGATTAAAAACCAATCTCCTTTTCACATGAATGATTCTAAACACACAGAAATCAGGACCCAAGGGTAAGATAGACCTGGCTGTTCTGTCAGGAGCACGTATGCCTCTTCCTTAGAGCCATCAGTACCCAGGAGACACCAAATATACACTGATGGGTTTCTCTGGGGCTGACTACTTAGCTGGGTCCATCATGTGCCTGGTCTCTGGCTGTCCACAGACTCAAACTGTATATGAGATGTATATTTGATAATGAGGCTGAGGAAGGACCACAGGAAGGGATGGTCAGAGACTGGAGGCCAGGGTTATTGCTACAGCTCAACATTCATGAAAAGGTAGAGGAGATTTGTTTATTGCACAGTAGAATAGTGGCAAGAATGCTGACCAAGTCTACCTTCAGGGTTTCATTTAAGGTTTCTTCCACCTTAAGAGTCCTGAAGGGTGACAGGTGACTGAGGTGGCCTCCTGCTCCTGCCCTGTGGTCAGTGAAGTCACATGATAGAATCTACTCCTACCAATGGATCAGAGAAACAAGTCTTTCCTTTTCAGCTTGTATATTTATCTTTGTATTCATCCATGTTGCAGATTTCATGCTTAGTGCTTTTCTGCCACTGTGTAGTGTAGAATTTGATAGCATTAACAAATTAAAGGTCTTTCCCATTCAAACTAAACTTTGAATTTTTTGATTTCTTGTCTTATTCTATCTCTTCTTTTTACCTACTATCCATGATCACGTCATAACATTTCTTTTAAAATATGCCTGCTTCATATTTGGGTTTTTCTGATTAGTTTTTTCTTATTTGTATTTGATGGGGCCTTTGTTGAGCATGATGTAGACACCAGGGCTTGGGGCCTCCTTTCTGAAAAGATAAAGTTGTCTTGTTTGTCTATATTTAATCTAAGTTTCTAGATAGATTAGCTTCTGTCACCACCTATTCAAGAGGAGATGTCCCCCTATTTAGAACACACTTTAGGAAGTCTCAGGCCACGCTCACTATTCACAGATTGTCTTCTTTGCAGGGGAAGTGTGGTTTAACAGTCAATCCTTGTTGAATTCACTTTTCCTGAATTACATTTTCTTTTATTTTTTTATTTTTTATTTTTGGTACCAGGGATTGAACCGCTTGCAAGGCAGGCAGCGGAACCACTGAGCTAAATCCTTGGCCCAATTACATTTTCAATTGGTAAAAATGTGTACATTGGTAATGTAGTTGGTTTTTTGTATTATTTAGTAGCCTTTGCTTGCAATGATACTATATTTAAGTTTAAAAAACTAAATAAAACATTTAGGAAAATTTAAGGTGATATATCCTAAAACTAATTTCCAACCTTCAATTTTTTAGAAGTAACAAAGGCACAGTACTTGGTAAGGATTTGGAGTTTTACAGAGTAGGATTGATCACAAAAATTATTTTTTTTAAAAGTTACTCAAGAGTTGTTTTTCTTCCCAAACAGGATAAGGACATCAAGGACACCAAGAAAATCAGAACCAGAAGTCATCGGAACATTGAAGATATTTAGCAAATAAATTTAAGGGAGAAAAAGGGCTAGGGATTTAGCTCAGTGATTCCACAGCCTGCCTTGCAATCGCAAGGTCCTGAGTTTGATCCCCAGTACCAAAAAAAAAAATTTAAGGGAGAAAAATATATAATATTTTAGCTGTAAGTTCTAGTTTAATTTTCACCATTAATGTAAAAGTGAACTCTGTAAATAATTGTATCGGTGTATTTAAGGGAAGAAAACCTAGAATCTTTTAGCTTTGCATCTTGGTGATAACCACCATCTTGCCCACCAGGTGATTCTGGCTGGCATTCCAAACCCTACCCTGTAAAGTCCTGAAGACAGCTGAGCATCTGGTGCCAGGCACTGATGCGTGGACTGTTTCTTAACTGACCTCTAATGTGTTAATAGTCTTTGAGAGAGCCCACATACATACATTTGTCTAGCGTAGCATATAAGCCCCTTCCTCTTATCTCTGAATCTAGGAATCCTGTGTTGCTACTTGCCGAGACAGGCTTCTGTCCCTTCTGTCCATTAAGTTCTTAATAAATTGCATTCTTTGTTAAAAAATAAAAGAATTGTCTAGCTCTGAATTTTCTTGAAAAGCCAGCATAAAAGCCATGCTGGGGGTTTCTGGGGTTCTAATTTAAATGTTTGGTAGTGGCCTGGCAAAGGCTCACCCCTCTGTGTTAGAGAATAAAGCCACTGATTTATCATTTCTTGAGATCAGTGTCTGTTGGCCTCTCTGTAGCACTTGCTACACTGCATGGTTGTTGCTTGTGTTTGTGTTTTCCATAACCATGGGAAAGGCAGGGACTTGGACCTTTTTGTCCCCAAATTGAGTGGTTCTCAGTAGCTGTTAATATACCATTGATTAGACCAGTGAAACTTACACAATATATTTGTACAATGAGAGCATTTGGTCCCCACGCTTGGGCTATTGGCCATCTGTACAAGACAGTTCAGTCTTTGGTGTCCTTGACCTTTAAGAGAATAAAGTTGTGGTTTGAAGCATGGCTGGTGAGACCATCCTTGGAATGACAAAGTTACTCTGTTTAGCTAATGATGAGTGGCTTGCCTTTTACATTAAGAATCTGTACCAAGTCTGCTAATGCTAAGGTGGTCTCTGCCCATGAAATCATGGGCCTGTTGACTAGTTTGCCACTTTATTCCAAGCTGTGACACTCCATCCAGCATCTGTCTGGAGTCCTGTCTATCTGTCCTCCCTGCTAGTTGAGGTGAGGACGACAGACAACAAAGTAGCCATCATCTAGAGCAGTGATGGCAAACCTTTTAGAAAATGAGTCCCCAAACTGCAACCCAAAACCCATTCATCGCAAAGTGCCAACGCTGCAATTAAACCTGAATACTGAGGTTTTAGTTTAGAAAAAACAACTCATACATTAATATCTTTTGTCTTAAAAACCCCAACACAGCATTCAATAATAAGTTTTTTATGGAAAGCTAAAAGTTTGCATTTGGCATGCTTTTGCACAGCTAATATGATCTTTGCTGTTGGTATGCATGCTGATAATTTGTCAAACCTTGGCTGGGGCGACTGGGCTGCATGTGAACAGAAAGCTCTGAGTGCCTGCTGCAGTACATGTGCCATAGGTTCACCCCCACTGATCTAGAGTGTACATAACCAGAAGGGTGGTGTCCTGTCCATGTTTATATCCTTCCTATCTGACACATAATAAATGTTTAATGAGTGAAGAAAAGAATAACAGCTTGTGGCCAAATCACTGGTAGTTACTTTTGCTGCACTGGCTACCATGAAAGTGTTCTGAGTAGTTGTCTGTGATCATAACGGAGATTGACAGGTTATACTGAAGGAAGGCTACAGAATGCAGTAGAGAGGGGACATCTGAAAGAGGATATAGAATAGGTGACAGCTGCGCTTCCAAAGAGGAGTGGGCTTGTTTATAGCAGCACAAAGTACAGAAAAGAGAACTTTTTAGAGAAAAATTTTGCTGCATTGTAAGACATCAGTGTGCCCTTGGTTGGCTTAAACCTTTAATGTCAAACCTGTAATAGAAATAAAGCCTTAGGTAAGTTGCACTAACCTGGAAATTTAGCAGTAATTAGGACCTTCATGTGTAGAAAGATTTCAGTCAACTGCATGCCTGTGGAATGAAACAGTCTGATAAATGAAAAGCAGCTTTACAGTCCAATTCTAATAAATCTTGCAGAAATATATGAATATATTTTCTTTGAAAAATGTATTTCACAAGCAGTTCGTTTTACAGAGCAGTAGGTGATGACTTAGAAAAGCTCATTCAATGGTGACACCAGTGTCAAACACCCACAGGATACACCTTTCATTTAATACTTCAGTGGGAGGGGCCAATTGAAAAATATTCACCTCAAAGTGTATTTGAGGGAAGGACCATAAACCCCCACCCACTCTCTTTGTGGCTTATTTTGCTGACCTCTCTGAGCCTTGGCTTCTATGTAACATACTACTTTGGTCTTGATCCTGGAAGAAGTGCAGATGGGTCGTGGGCTTGGGAGGGTCTAACTCATCCTGTAGAGGTGGCCTTTCCAACAGGGCCCAAGGAAGGTCCTCAGATGCAGGCCTGTCTGGGGCTCTTTACTACTTGGAGGTCTGAAGAAGGGAGGAGGCAGGTGTTCTTGGAGTTCAGAACCTCATGAAACTGTCATGGAGAATCAATATCCCAAATAGCAATTCCCAAATGCAAATTTGAGCTACAGGACTAAAAATGATTTAAGATAGTGTGGCTGGATCCTACCTTTTGCTGGGCTTTCTGGCCAAGACCCTTTGATAGGTTCCTGGGATCTTGACTGTCTGGTCAGAGTTCCAAAGATCCCAGGTGCCAATGCCGTGCAGATCCTTTCAGACCCCTGAGCATCTCCAAGGCACAGTCATGACCTCCTCTCCTATCTCCAGCATCAAAAGTCATACCAGCACACAGCTCTCAGCCATTTGTCAGTGGAGATTTCATTCATTTGTTCTTTGGGAAGGAACTAATGTGCCCATGAGCCATTCACATGAAGCACTGTCCCCTATTGTACTTATGACTTATCAGGCATGAACATTGGAATTGATAAGTCTTTTATTGTCAAGAACCAAAGCCAGCCTTGTGCTCATCAACCCCTTCTCAGGTTGATAGATCCCACACTTCTGATTTCAAACCCTGATCTCAGGGTAAGTTGATCCCTGCTCCCTATGGCTTTCCAGTAGGATTCCCAAAGGGACATCCCCAACCTACCATTCAGATTGGGTTTTTGATGTCACTAGGAGAACAAACAAGCAGAAACCATATTCACTGTACTGTCTCCACTTGGGTGACTTGAGAGATTTCACTAGGGATTCACTTGTGCATGTCAGCACAGATATAGATGGTATGGGCCCATTGGCTTCTCCCATGGATCCAAAGTGCTCTAAACTCTGTTTCAAGTTGCCAGTCTGCTTGAGATCAGGGCAGGTGCTCTTTTATCACCTGTAAAATTAATCTGAAGTGTGGAACACACTCCATAACCCTCCTGAACTGGCAAATGGCTACAGATAGACTTCTAGGAAGATGGCAGAGCGGTAAGCAGTGACAAATTAATGTCTCCAAGATTCAGAATCCAGACATTGGAGAATAACAACTTGGGAAAGAAAACAAGGAGGGAGATGGATCCTCAGGACCCAGGAAGGATCTGGAGGAAAAACTGGAGCCCACAGAGAAAGTGAAGAAACCGACCTCAACACAGAAAAAGGGGGCAATCACCACTTTCTCCTCAACTCTCAGACTTGTGGTGTGAGAGAGGAGGATCAAATATCTAGAGACACAGTGAAAGCAGGTGACTCCAGAGGCCTCCTAAGAGAAATGCAACAGTGGAATGGAACAGTAAATCCTGGGCACTACAACAGCTTGTAAGTGACTCCAGTCCAAATGACTGCCACGTCCCCTGAGGAGGGTGCTTGGCTGGATGCCATTTTAGGGAAGAGCCAACTGAACCCAGGACTCAGAGCAGCCATGGGTTGGCCTCATTTTGGGGCTCCCAGTCTTGAAATCCCACAGTGAAAACCACAGGAGATGACCAGGGTCAGGGAGTGTGGTCAGGCTGGCAAGAGACACCAAGAGTGTTGTAGGTAAAAAATTCAGGCCCCAATTCTACAACAAAAGGCCAGAATCATCCTGAACTGTTATGGAGTTGAAAGCACCAGAATCAACACTCTGCCCCAATCCCACTGCCAGCTTGCTGGGATCATCCAGCATGGATCTGGGCTCTGTCTGTCTCCTTTGTCTACCAGTGATAGCAGAAGCAGTCATGCTCTGCATTGGACACTGCCACAAAACTGTAGACCCCAGAAGATAATCACAGGGTTTAAATCACAGAGAAATCTCTCTCTTTTCTTTGCTCTTGGTTTTTTGTTTGTTTTTGTTCACTTGCTTTTTTTTCTTGGTTGTTTTTGTTTTTTCATGAGTGTGTACATTGTTTTCAGTTTTTTTTGTTTTGTTTTGTTTTGTCCTTGCGTTTCTTTTTTCCTTCACTCTTTCACTCCTGTGTCTTCTTCACCAGTTTACCAAAACTTAGGTAATCTTTCTATGTCCTTCAGTCTTGCTTCTAACCTCTTTCTCATCTTTTATTTCTCTATTCTTTCCCTTTATCCCTTTTAAATTTTCTTCCCTGGGGGTAAAATCACCTGATTGAGTGGATATTTACTGTATACAATTTTCTAATTTATTTTAGATTTTGTTATAAAACTATAAATCTTGTACTTATGATAAAGGTGGTAAATTAATAATTATCACAGTTTGTCATTTTTTAGACTATGCCTCATGCTATTGTTATCACTGATTGTATATTTTAGCTCAGGTGACATAGTTGTTGTGATCAGTTGTTCTTCCTTGTATGCCAATACTGAGATTGTCTGGGTCTGGAAGCAGAGAGAGTAGGGAGGAGCTGGAAAGGTAGATATACCCTTCCAGGTCACACTTTCAGTGACCTACCTCTTCCAACCAGGCCCCAGCTCCAATAGAATACATAGCTCTGATCTGATCTGTGAATTAAACCCATTGATGAATACAATACCCCCACGATCCAATCAGGTTCCAAAAGCCCCACCTCTGAACACATGAAGTCTTTGTGCACATTCTAAATCTAAACCATGACAGGGACACATTTTTAGGAGGCAGAAATGTTTTTTAGGTTATGGGTTGTTAGTTTCTTTTTGGCCTATTCCTAAGACACTAGTGTGTGGAGTTTCTTGCAGCACCAAGTGAGTTAATATCTGCTCAGATTGACTCAAGGTGCAGAAGACTGCTGACCTTAAGGAGTTGGATCATCTTGAAGATGAGGTGTTCTGCCAGCTTGGACAGAGGCAAGCTTTGCTGGTGAAACAAGGAGGAATATCTTGGGAATAATTTGATAAACTTAACAATTCAGCATCATTGTCACCATGCCTTTCTAATCTAAAATATGTACCCATGTTCAGCAGAACACAATGCCTTTGTTTCTCCATAAAACTGGGATTTTAGGTCAGTTTTGGACACCATTCTGGTGGAAGTTGCCTTACACCCCCACAAAGATATTCTCTGTCTCTCTTGTCTTCACTCATCTCTCTAATCAGGGTTTGCT